AGAGATCATTAGGTGTCCAGCCTCACTCCATCACCAGCTGTCCTGCTGCGGTTCAAGGAGTCTGCAAGATGGCAGGTGAGGAGTGTGGGATTGGCTGCAGTCCAAGATACTCAACAGAATCACTGGACTGTTTTCAAATCAACAGAGCAAAGACGATCCAGAGTCCAAGGACCACTCCTGAATTTTATAAATCTCCAGAAACTTCATTCCCTCTCTGGCGTCATAGCGCTGCTCTGGCAGGTCTGGGCCATTGCCTGTGGATCCTGATGGCAATCAAGCACCAAGAAATAGCTCAGCTGTTGGAAGAGCAACTAATGGAATGAGGTCAGCATCAGAACCAGGATCGTAGGCTGTGGGGTTAGGAACCCTCTCGGGATGAGGTGTGAGGCTTTGGACCAGCACTTAACTCCTTGGAACCTCAGTTTTCTCAGTTACACAACAGGAGTGCAGGGACCAACAGAACCCTCAGAGGCGCAACGAGGATTGAATGAGATATCACTGGTAAAGAGCTCGGCCTAGTACCCAGTGTCTCGTAAACATCCATAAGTATCATTTAGGGAAAAATGAATCAAAGATGTGGCCGTTATCATCAGTTGATAGCTGTGTGCCAGGGGTCACCTTAAAGGGTCCTATCAGGAACAGAAGGATGAATGAGGACTTGGGCAGATACCCTTGGCACCAGGGATCTTGACCACGATGCTACAGCTGAGGGGGACTCCCGAGTCATACTGACTTCCTGACTCAATAATATGAGGACAAAGAGAAGTGAACGAATATACACTGAGGAGGGGAGGATGGACAAGTGGCACTGTCACGGAGACCTAAAAACTCAGAATAGTGAAAACAAGGACCCAAGTCAGACCACAAAAGCAGGCTCCAGTCACCTCCCTGTCCCATTTCTAAAGAGTTTTGGTCCCCACTTCTATCATAAAGGAGGCGAGTTGGCCTACAACACAGGTTGGCTGCCCGTTGGTGAAACCCAGCCACCTGCGGCTATGCCTGCGCTGGGCCCTGCCTCTCCCACTCCTTCACACCAGGCCTGCACACTGTCTGCCTAAGGCCAGGCTGAGCAGGTACGTCACAGCCCACATATCCTGTGAGTCTGCAGTTCTCCCTGTTTGCAAAAAAAAAAAAAGAAAGAAAAGTTGCAAATCCTTAAAGTACACTGTGGGGGGACATCTGATCCATAATCCACGGAGCAGCATAACAAATTATAAAGAGAGATGCGCTGAGTCATGTCCCCACTGAGATGACTTGGAGAGCATGTTAGGTAAGCTTCTTTACATATCTTACACTCACTGCAAAGTCGTAAGCCCTCTTTCTCCCCGGCTTCATTAAACCCCACACATCCATCCATTCCTGCAGAGCAGTTTCAGCAGAAAGAATACAGTTAGATCTGGCAAAGGTACCCTGAAGAACATCCATCCTTTGCCAGGGAAGGCTTTTAGAAGATGTAATATCTCCTGACCGGATCGACTCTCGTTTCTCTTAACCGACACATAACACGGGGGACTTGTAGAAGGTTCAGCTCAGGTGCCCGCTCTGGAGGGTGTCTTCTTCATGGGGCAGCCGCTGCCCACAAGCTTCAATCCAATAAATACAAGTTTGTCTTCCTCTCGCCCCACACCCAATTTAATGCCAGGGCTATGTTCTTTCAGGGTGGCCTTTCAGCGAGAGCTGTGTCATTTAAACAGCTCCGTGATTCAGAATATTTCTAAGTGGAGCTTCATCCAGCAACAACCCCCAAACACAGCTCAGGGTCCCTCCCCATGCCAAGCAAAATTCCAAACACCCTGCTCCCTTTACTGGACAAGTCCTCTGTCCTTTCCAAATATGTCCACCTCATTAAACAGTAACCCCTCCATTCAACGATGTCTCTTACTCTCCCTGCCGACCATAAATTAACCCTCCTGCAGGCAGATGGAAACCGAGAGAAGAGGAGAGGAGGCAGGAGGGGAGGAGAGGGGAGTATGGGGGTATGGAAGGGTAGGAAAGAAAATATGGCACATTAGTGGATTAGCCAATTGGGAAAAAATGGATTAATGAAAGGGTATTAAAGAAACTTCTCAAAATCACTTTTTTTTCACATGACTCATATGATTCTTCACTTCACTTCTGTAAACACATGGTTTTCCATATTGAACTAACTCCATTTACTGGGAAGTCCCAGCACGGGTGGCCTGCTCAGGTTGCCCCTGTGTAAGGAAGGGTGTGCTTGCTCATGGTGGGACCCGCCCCCACTGCTGCCAATGGCCTCCTTCCCATTGAAAAGCGCTTGTCTGGAACTTCAACCCATGGAATCCAGGGAGCGTTTGCTATAGCAGCTCCAGCCCTGGCTTTTAGGAGGACTGTAAACCTTCCTTTCTTGTCCCTTGAGACCTTGAGCCAAAGTCGGAAGTCCAGACTAATCTGCTAGAGAGGAGGGCCATGGGACACAGAGACACCAGACATCTGGGTGAAGACGCCCACAAGCCAGTCAGGTGGACCACCTCCAGCCTCTCGCGCAGCTGCAGAAAGACGTCACCTAAGACCTGCCCCCCAGTCCCACTTAACCCTGGAATACGGAAAAGGAAATCCTGTTTGATGTCACTAAGTTTTGGGGTGTTCTGACAGCAACAGACACGGGGCCCCTTCTCCACCCTGTGGTCTTGGGACTAATCAGGGAAGAGCAGAGAATGGCGGGCGCCATGTCAGCAGGATTCATAAGCCGGTCCCCCATCCCTCTTTTCCCTCTGGCTCCGCAGCAGCATGTCCTCACTCCAGGCTGGACTAAGACCAGCACTGACTCAGGCCAAGCCGTGCTACTTCTGAGCCACAGTCACACACAGCGAGGAGAGAAATTAGCCTTCGCTGCTGAGAGCCACGGATCCAGGTCCTTTTGTTCTGTGGAATACACTGGTGAGAGATGGCTTTGCCCCCCTTCAGTGAAGGGTCTCAGCACTCCAGGACTCAGCCCTACACGAGAGAAAGTCGCTGAGATGGAGGAAAAGAGCAGAGCCCTCCACACAGTGGATGCAGAAGTGCAGAGGGCCACCAGCCTTCTGCTGGAGGCCACGCCTGCCTCTTAGGGTCCAGCACAGAGCGGAGCGAACTTTTTACGTAAAGGGCCAAGGTGTCAGCACTTTAGACTTTCATGCCAAAAGCTAAAACTGAGGACTTTAAATACTACTTAAGTGATCATTTAAAGTGTAACCATTATTTAAAAACCTTCTGGGCTCTGAGGTCCTAGGAAGCAGGTGGCAGGCCAGATTGGGCCCTGGGCTACAGCTCAGTACCCCCCACCTGGTGGTGAGGATGGGCATCTCTCTAATGCTGTCACATGTCCCATGTCCTACCCAAGGCTGTGCTGAAGCTCAGAGAAGAGACACATCTCTCTGAAAGATGTGCCATTTTATAGGTCTTCCAACAGGGAAAGCACCTGAGTGAACCTTGATAGCAAATAAATGCTACTGAATAACGGAGAATAGCAGAAGTGTGATGGGATTTAAAAGCAGGGCATGGGCAGGTCAGCTCATTTTCTTCCATTGGCTCAAGAATCAGCAAGTCACACACAGTTCCAAGATAACCAGTCCAGCTTCTGCACCTTTTGACACCTTACAAACCCACATTCAGACACATGGCTGTCGTGGCCTGGGCTACCACAGCAAAATCTCATCCACTGGGCGGTGTAAACCACAGAATGTATTTCTCCCAGTTTGGGGAGCTGAGAAGTCCAGCGATTCTGTTCCTGGGGAGGGCCTCTTCTCAGCTTGCAGATGGCCTCCCGCTTTCTTGTCTCTCAGACGACAGGAAGGGAGAGGGGCACAGACAGGGTGACATGCTCTTTGTGTCTCTTCTTACGAGGACATGAATCCTGGAAGGTCAGGGCCACACTTTCATGGCCCTGTTTAACCTCATTCACTTCCAACAGCCTCAGAGGGCCGGGCTGCGGCATCTGAATGTGGGGAGCAAGATGGCATCCACGGCCATAAGTCACCCAGCCACACACTGTGACCTGCACATGGTGCCATGGTCCACAGCCTCACATGAAAGCCAGATCAATCCCCAACGCTCCTTCCTGTGCTTCTGCAGCATTCTGTCCACAGACGACTGCTAAAGCACCCAGGGCCTCTCTCCGTCTGTGCACCCTGTATCCCGTCAGCCGCACTCCTCAACCTCAGCGAGCAGACACAGCAGCGCAGACACTGGAGACCTGGACCAGCACAGTGCCCGCCAGCAAAGACTTAGAAACCAAGTTAGTACTCACCAACTAACTCTCTAAATTTGGCTTTATTAGTGAATATTATCAATTTGATTAAAGCCAGACTAATGTTTCTGATAAAATGAAAACACATATGAACATATACTTGGCTGGGTAGGTTATGGGTGGGGGTGGTTCAGGCACTGCTTGCCACTGGCCCAGGTGAAGCTACTGTAGAGCAGGGCCACCCTGGAGATGTGGCCACACCCCTGCAGATCTCCTAGGGTGCAGCGCCCTGTCTGTGTGGGGGATGCCTCTATCTACAAGAAGGGCCAACACACTTCTTTCTGAAGGGCCAGGTCACAGTTATTTCATAGTTTGCACTAGGGCATACTGTCCCTCTTACCCACCGTAGTGCAAAAGTGGCTACAAACAATAAGTAAATAAATACCAGCTGCCATGCTCCAACAAAACAGCATTTCCACAAACAAGAGGTGAGTGGATGTGAGCAGGAGTGCTGCTAACCCTGATCTCAAGGGCGTTTGTTCACGGATGAAAAGGAGGAGATCACCACAGAGGCCTGTTTGTACTTTTCACTAGTCGTCACACAGACACTAGATGTCCTAACCCCATGACTCTTTAAATCCAGGGAACGTGAGGGCGGTTTCCAAAGTGCCCCCAGCAGAGCCTGGTACCTTCTGACAAAGGCCCTGCCAGTGCATCTGGTGGCACCCCGTCTAAGGCAAAGCCGCACCGGCAGGCAAGTCTCCGCCCGGCTACACACAGCGCTAAGAGCAGGCAAAGCGGGCGAGGGATTTACCTCGACAAGAAATCCGCGAAGGAGAGGCGCACGGGGTACCCGAACCTGAAGATCTTCACCAGCTCCAGGACGCCCAGGTACTGCAGCTGAGCCGACACGTAGAAGTGGTCGAACACGTCTGGCAGCTGCGAGTTATTGGGTTTGATGCAGTGAACGACATGCGGGGTGCAGTGCTGGAGCTTCCCGGTAATATCCGCCAGGGATTTCTACAGGAAAAGAAAGACCAGCTGATTCACCCAGAGAACCTGGCTGGAAACTCTGAGCGCTTCTGTTGGTTTTCGTCCTGGGGATTGAACCCAGGGCGTGTTAACACACAGCCACATCCCCAGCCCTTTTATTCTTTTATTTTGTATAGATACTTGCTAAATTGCTGAGGCTGGCCTTGACCTGTGATCCTCTTGCCTTAGCCTCCAGAGTTGCTGGGATTACAGGCATATGTCACTAAATCCTGCTTGTTTTTGTTTTTGTTTTTTAAATACAAATCTTTATCTCCAATCTGACTCTATTGTATATCACATATTCACTTACTGTGTGTGTACGTGTGTGTGTGTATGTGTGTATGTATTTACTTTTCCCTGAAGGTATTCAAGTTTTCAGAAATGGAAAAGAATTCCATGTGACCCTGATGCGGCTGACACAGACTCAATAGGCCCTTGGCATTTTTACTGACCCTGAGCTGTGAAGCTGTGCTGGTGGGATTGCTGCGCTCCAGTCTTTGCCGAAATGTAGACGCTCCTTTCTTTTTTAATATCTGTAATGAGAAAAGAAAGAGGGAGGAAAAGACAGGGAAAGGGTGAGCTTTACTCAGATTTTAATTACTAAATTTCAGTTTGGAAGGAAAAAATAGAAACTAAGGTGTGCATCCATGTAGATCCACAGGCAAAGGCATAAAACAGATTATAAAAACCAGAACCAGATGATCTTCCCGTAATGCTCCTGTAACTTGATGAATGGCACCTGCAGGTCAAACAGAGCCCCAGCTTCTGGCCTTTCAAGGGCAAGGCTGTCAATCAGGCCCACCATCATCCATGCCCATCTTCATTTGAGAACACACACAGATCCCAATCACCTCCCTGCACTGTTCTGGTCACTACAAGTCCTTTGTATTTATCATTTCTCTGGGGATGAAGGAGATTTCAGGTTATAAGGAGCAGATGCTTCCACAAGTGTTAGTGTGCTTCCTGAAATTTAAAATATAAGCAGCATTGCATGTGGGTATGGGCTGGACACCTGTGCTCATTCCTTCCTTTCCTCTTTCTCTCCCCCACCCTCTCTCTTAATAAATGAGATTAATAAGTTATTTGTCTGTGAAAATGATAATAGATTATTTTCTTCAATAAGTAATTACACACGTTCTCAAAAGAAAAGCAATCACATGTAGTGAAGATAATGGAGACACAAAAAGATCAGTGGAAATGAGGCCAATGGACGAAGATTAAAAGGGCAGGAGGTAGATAGTCAGATTCCAGCAGGGGTTAAAAGAAACCTCGCCACTAGTGCACTGCCTCATCCACAGCACCACACAGACCCAGACCAACACACGGATTGGCGGAAAGCCACTTCTCTCCAAACACAAGAAGGACTCCTGATGCAGAATCCTCTGAGCCTGGTGCTACTGAAATGACAGTAGCTCCCTTCCCCCCATTACGATGACCTCGGAGCAGGAGGACTGACCATAACCAACAAGGGAACGCACTGTGCAGGGACTGGCCCCACTTCAAGGTGTCTCCTACCCACGCAGTGCACAGGCAACGCAGGTCAAAGCCGTCCTCCTGGCTGCAGGGGTGGATTGCAGGACAAGGGCATTAAAAAGGGGACGGCTAGGGAAGTGAGGGGTGGAACACACAAGGCAGTCAGACAGACAAATCTCCATCCCTGAGCAGGAGCGCTCAGGCTCCCGTTCTGTGTGGAGGAGCCACTGCAGTCTCCTCCCCTCTGCCATCCTTCTCAGCCTCAGGATGCTTAATAATATCTGATAACGGAGGACAGTTCAGCCGTGTGCTGATCACTTGCTCTCAATTTGCAGGAGGACGGAGAAAGAGCCAGAAGGTGCAGAAGCACGGCGGGAATGAGGGTGGTGCTTCTAAAGGACAACCCTTTGTCTTTTAATGTAAAAGATGCCATTTTGTATGCAGTGAGAGGGACTTCCTGTGCTCATCCCGCTCTGGACAAGTACATCAAAGGGTTGCTAATTCTAGGCCCTGCTAGCTAAACACACTCACATTCCCCACCATTCTACTAAAAGAGTTGATTCAATTAGGCCTTTATTTTAATTGGAAAACTAAGACACGTTCCAGCAGGCTGCAACAACTGCATTTCTAAAATTGATTGTCCTGAATGCTTTCCCAACTCTACGCCTCCTCTTCTATTCTTTTGGTAGACACAAGCAAAATAACGTGAATGCAGTCTGGCGCTGTATTCGTAAGAAGCCGAACATGCTTCAAACATTTCCTTATCAGTTTGAAATAACTCTTCACAGAGATTTTAGTTCTCTTCTAGAATTAGAACCTTTAGGTTATATGGACATTCAAATTCATGTGGAACAAATGTTCAAATTAGCATAACAAAAACTAAGGTAAAAATCTACAAATAAACAATAAAAATATTTTAAGATCAAAAATGCTCTATGTCTACAAGAGAAGCAAATATTCATGGTTCAGAAACCCCGAACCTCAGAAATGATAAGGTAGGTAAGTATGTACCCTCAGAGCCTACTGCCCCCACTTCAGTCCCAATTCATACAAAAGGAAGGCAGATGAAATGCAAATGAGATGTCACACAGACAACTGATTCGTCACCACACTGCACTTTCCTGTAACGTCCCCTCTCTTGGACAGTTCTGGTGGGTATCCTTTCCTTTAATTCTTTCTATTAAAATATAAGTTTCTTTACATGATTGTACAAAATTATAATTTTTTTTTTAAACAAAGAAAATATCCAAGCAACCTAGAAGCAAATAAACAAGAATCGCAGAGGTGCCTACCGTGCTAAGCTGGAGATAATTCTTGTTCTCTCCAACAATTGAGGAAGCTGTCGTTTTCTTATGGAGCAGGGCAGATTTATGTCCTCGGAATTTAAAGGAAGGATATGAAGATAGGAGGGATCCCGTTGGTGACAATTTCGACTGGAACAAATGATTGATCACGACATTTTCACTAGCTAGGAAATAAGTAAATGGACGTTGTTAAGTGCTGTTAAAATCATCATTTACTGGAACGTTAAATTTATTCCTTATAAAAGTACTTTCACCACTAAAGCATTCTGTGCTGAGATGTAAAAGGTGCTGCAGGTCTGCCCCTTCCCCCCAGCGGTCCTGTCTCATTCCCTGACCCTAGCTGCCCTGGGCCAGGTGTTCTGACCTCTCGTTCTCCACCTGAGCTCCTGGCCCTTGGCTCTCTGCCTGGCACTGCCTCCTGGTTATGGGCACTGTCCAGCTGAGACCTGAGGGGCTTTGGTGCAGCTGGCCACCTTAGGAAGACACCTGGTTCTGGTCAGAACAGCCCCTCCCTCTCCAGGAAAGCAGCACCTTGGGCAGTAGACCATTTAAGAGCCTCACCTGGCTGCACCTGTTGTGAGGCTAAAGAAGGGGGGAGAGAACCCCTTTTGCTGAATGCAGTCAAGATGCCAGGGTCAAAGTGAGCTGATACATTTTAGACGCTATGTCATTCTAGGGCCACGTTCCTATCTGGACATCTCAGGGAGAAGAGGAGGTGGAATGAGTGGAGTCTGGATCACACATTTCAACAGCAATTTGAAAGCAATGTGAATGGCTGGTAAAGACCAGAGGGAGCACTCTTGGGGTTGGTTTTCTGTGTGTAGACACTTTTGGAGCCTAAGTTTCCCTCTTTAGCAAAGGATGATGACAGTACCTTGGCGGTAACTGCAAGGCTTGAAATGTGAAATCACGTGCATCAATCACTTAAGATCATGGTCAGCCCACGGGGCAGGGAGAGCGTGTAACAGTGAAGTAGTTTAGTTGCCACCCTTCCCACACTCAGGGGTTTTGCTTGCCCAGGTGCAAAATAAGGCAGATAGAATGTAAATCTGCGTCACCTTCAGTGAAAAGTCACATTAATAAACAAGCAGGGAAACGGGACAGCGGTCAAAGAAGGGGGACATAATTACAGAGGCAGGAGTGGGAAGGGACCCTGTGGTGTTGGCTTCAAATTATGGGAGAAAGCCACTGTTTTTAATGCACAGCTGCATATCTAACTATTATCTATGTCTGTCTCTTAAATGCTGAGGTCTGAAAATGCCTAAAATCAAAGACACTACAGAAGCAGTGAGCTCACCCAGGCCCCAGTGTTCCTCAATTCCATACTTCCCAAAGACCCAATAGGCTAGATCTGACACTGTCTTGGAAGACCAGATATGAGGGAACACTAAAAAAGCCACGGGAACCTGTCAAAAGGACACCAGAGCTGGCCTGAAGGTGTTCTAACAGGCCAAGCCTTGAAGAATTTTAGCATCAAAATAATGATGTAGTGGTATATGGCTCACTGAATAAAATAAGAACACCTGAGTCCACCTGGTCATATAAGCAAAGGAGCCAGTGAAGTAGGAGACACGGAGTGTCATAGCAGAAGGCCACTGTTGGTGGGGGGACGGCGTTCTGCAACTGTAAGAGGAATAACTAATTCAAGCAAGCATGAAAGATGCCTGCAGATCCAGCTGGGAGAGGTTGATGGAACAGAACATTCGCACGGTCTCCAAGTGCTTCCCCCCAGGTCACGCATCAATGCCAAAGAGGAACCAGCAACTCTGGAAACCGAGAGGCTGGCAGACACCACCCTATCAAAGCAGTCGCGCGTCACAGCTTCAGGGACATTTATGGTGGTCACTGCCTCTGGTGCACTGAGGATGCATGTACCACCTCTGAGGGGTTCCTGGCAAAAATGCTCAGCTTGATTCTGATATAAGTAAAACTCAAATATCCCCAAATTGAGGAACACTGCATGAAATAACTGATATTTAATTTTTGAAAACAATGTCATGGAAAACTATGGAAATGTCCAAGATTAAAGATTGAAGTGAAATGACCCTGAACTGTGGGAAATCACTATAAAAGACATTAATGGGACAATTGCCAATGCTTTATCTGAGCTCTGGATTAGATGTCAGCATTGTATCAATGATCAATATTCTGATAATTTACTGAGTTCAAGTTAGACAATGTCCTCATTTTGGAATGTGCATTGACATGTAGACATTAGCAGATGAGTGACTTGTTCTCAAGTGGTTCTGAAAATATTCACATGGAGGAGGAGGGGGGAGGGAGGGAGATGGAGGGAGGGAAGGAAAGAAGGCCTGAAACCCTGATCTGAAGAAACTGGGAGTTTTCTGTACTGACTTTATAACTTGTCTTTAAGTTTGAAACCACTTCAAAATAAACAAACAGCAAGTATGTACCATGACCCTCGTAAACAATAGCAAAGCAATTGTTATTCATATGTATAGCAAGTCCAAATGTGTGTGGGCCCACACAAATAAGGCAACACATTATCCTCCAACTGAAGGATAACAGCCTTCAATAAAACTGAAAACACCAGACATAACATGGACCACACTGTTTGCCTGATCCCCTTTTATTTTATATATAATCTATGTATATTGATAGGTAGATATATCACCATGAAATTTAAAAAAAGCATTGTGCCGACTTCTAAAGCATGCTATATATTAGATCTTCGCTAAAAGACAAGACCCAAAGGGAAGGGCATTAAAAATAAAAGTGCAGGAAACTGCATACTAGGAGCAAGACATTTCCAGTGATAACAGGTCAGATCAATTACTGCAATTCCTCCTTTGATCATGATACCATCCCCAGTCCATGCTTCAACATTGGTCTCTGCTAAGATAACTTCCAATGAGCGCATGTTCTGAGAGGCCAGCAGAGTGACCCCTGCCCCGGAAGACTCTGACACAACCATGCTGCTGCAACCTGAGACCAGAAGTGACGTGGACATCTGATCTCCAGCTCAGAGGCACCTAAGTACTTCATGAAAGGCATCTTCCTGTCCCAGGAGAGACAAATGCTCTTTTGCTTCCAGAGCACCTTAAAGCACAAAAGAAGCTGAGCTTACATTCACTAAAGGGGTCACTAGAAAAATGTGAATCACTGAAGAAATGCCACTAAGAAAATAACTACTAGAGGAGACAGAATCATATATATACGTATACGATTGGAATATATATGAATTTAATAATTGTTTTTTATATAGTATAGAATCAAATTCAATACATATGTAGAGTATTAATGCCCACTAAGTAGAAGGAACTGATAAATCTATCTATCTATCTATCTATCTATCTATCTATCTATCTATCTATCTGTAAATACACGTATACACATATACACATACACGCAGATTTATAAATGTACTGGCTCCTTCTACTTGGTGGCATTAATACTCTATAACTGGATGTGCATAAGAATAAAAGACCATCCCTGGTTATGCTTCATGGTACCTTAAGTAATGAAATTCACCCTACTGTGGCCTAAATAACTTGGGACGCCATATTCATCTTCATTAGTCTTCACAGAATAGCTTTTTTTGTATTCATACCACTAAAGTAGTAAAGGTGTTTTACATTCCTGTGTGCTAAAAGCTTAGTTAAATTATGGTTTCTAGTGGACTCCAAATTAAATTGTAACCAATGCACAGTATGGCAAGACACATTCCTTATTATTCTGGGCATTACAATGCAAAAGATATTTCAATTATCCTTTTGCTAGTAGCATATTTTGTAGGAAAAAAAAATTCAAGAAATAAGGAATGCATGGCATTTTAACCAGTGTAGGGAGAAATCAACTTACTTTTCATTACAAATAGAAGATTCTGTGAAAGGGAGTCTTTATTTTTTTCAATTGCTCCAACAATCTCATACATTACCTATAATAAGAGAAAATAGCATAATTACTACGGATTAATCATGACCATGAAAATAAATTCCTTTAAAGAATAATTCAATTCAGCTGAAGTTTTAAATTATTCATGAAAGAAGTCTCTTCAGGTCTGAGAGCTCACACTGCATGCAAGTTCAAAGCCATCGCCTGCATGTTCTCATTCTGTACTTAAAGAGGGGACACTGCTCCTCTGCTGTTTTGCAAGGCTCTCTTCTGATCCTGAGTTTAAGGGCAAAGGCTGATAACTCACATCCTGACGCCCCTTTATTCTTAAGGATTGCAGCTCAAAAATCAGCTAACCCAGTACGGGCTCCTGACACTGAGCCTGTGTAGTGATGGCAGTCTGAGATGGCCCGTGGTCTCCTTATTAAGGGCTGCTTGCTGTTAGACTATGTAACAGCCAGTTCATCGGATGTCTTTTGAACGAAGAAAACATGAGAAACAATTATCGAGGAACACATTTGGGTGACTTGATTGTCTGGTTTTATTGGTATCCAGTACGGCTGGGAGACCTGGTCTTTAGAGAGACAGTGCATCTGTCTGAGCTAAGTACGACTCCCAGAGGGGTCATGAGAAGCCATCCAGGCACACCTCCACCAGGAAGCCTGTCCATTTCAATATCAGCTCCTTTCAGAAGCATCCTGTGGCACAGAACCTGGGCAGGGTGCCAGTGGCTGTCCCTTCTCTCTTCCTACCATCACCCCTGGGAGAAACCAAGAGGGAGAAACAGTGGCTAGACTTGCCACTCTGGGGATTCCCAGGGAGGACAGGGTCTGGGACAGGAGGGGATTGACAGGCACAGAGAGGCCGTGAGTCCACTGGGTCTGTGGGAGGAACCTAGAGAAGGGCCACACAATCCCTGGTGGTCCATGTCCCTACGTGGCCTTTAGTCCCAGGGCTCACGTGTCCTCCTTCAGTAAAGCTCTGTGTGGATTCCTTGATGTCACGGGAGCCTGAGCCACAGGAATCTCCAGGTCTCCTGTTAAAACCGAAGTGCAGAGCTCCCCTGTTGTTCTCAAACAAGGGCACGAACGTCCACAGACAGCATCCTGATATTTACCGGGCACACAGTTTTTATTTACTTATTTATTCCTATTATATATTTATTTATATTACTTACATTTACTTATTCATGTAAATGTATTTTATTGGTAGGGCATCTGCATATAATTAATGAACCACAAAGCAGGTCAACTTAATCACTTTTGTCCTTCCGGTGTTAAATCATATTCTCTAGGGCCCTCCAACTCTAAAAGCCTCTGACCTTATTCATAAGATACAAATGGACACATATTGACAGGCTGGGTTGACGGCCCACTGTAGATATGGGCGGTAGACACTACCAAAACAGCTTACTTATTTTATCGTAATTACCCCTGTAATCAAATGACTGATGACACAGTACATAAAATCGGCATTAGTGGATTATTGACATGTGGTTTTAAATATTTATTTGGGGCCCAAAATTTGAAATCAAGTATTGCTTCAAGGAAACTTTCCTACTGTCATGGAGAGATGGCACTCAAGATCATTATCTGCTCCCTGGGGTGTACCATAGCACCTTGCTACTGGATCACTGGTGCTTCAATGGTCTTAGTGGACAGAGCTGAGAAACACAGAACATGTACCGTGCACGGGCAGGCAGGTGCACATGCACTTTTCATTATAGTCAAAGGTAAAAATGTCACTGAATTCATATTTGGTCTTTTAATCATGATAATTTCTTCAATCTAAAGAAGTTTGGTGTTGGCTTTGTCAAAGGCAATTTAAAAATCTCTAGATAGGGAACAGGGGTGGGAGGGAAAGGGAGAGAGAAGGGGAATAGCATGGATGGTGAAAGGAGACCCTCATCATTGTACAAAACACATGTATGAAGATGTGAATTTGGTGTCAACATACCTCATATACAATCAGAGATATGATAAATTGTGGTATAAAGGTGTATTAAGAATCATAATGCAAAAATAAATAAATAAATAAATGGAAAGGCCCTTCTTACTTAAAAAAAAATCTAAATATATGGTATCCCTTCATGCTCATTTATTATATACATAAATAATGTGTTCCCATCACCTTTAAATATTTTGAATTAGCATTTTAATTTAAATATAATTTTTAATTATAACATTTTATTGGTTCTTTTTTTGGTTATACATGAGAATAGAATTGATTATAAAAGTAATTATGATAATCATAAAATAATTGTAAAAGTATAGGATATAATTTGTTCTAATTCAGTCCCCAGAACTTCCCCTTCCCCTCCATTACTCTTCCCTGTTCTCTTCTCTCTACTGACCTTTCTCCTATTTACAGATAGACATTTTGTCTTTAAAATGAGTGTCTAGGGGATCTACATGATGGTGAAATTCACTGTGGTATATTCGACATGTACATAGAAAAGGTGGGTGAGGTCCACTCCACTCTCTCCTTATCCCATCCTTCCACCCTTCCTTCATTCCCCTTGTTCACTACACTGGAAAGATAATTTTAGATTTACATGAAGTTGCAAAAAATAATACAGATAGACCATGTGTACCCTTCTCCAGTTTCCTGCAAGGATAGCATTTTACAAATAATCATAATGGAGATATTGATTAGGATGGTGAAAACAGAGAACATAACATCAGCACATTGGTCCTGTGTGTTGCCAATTTTGCTCACCTCCCAGAAATCGCCATCTATTTGTGGGGCTCTACTTCTGGGCCCTTTATTCTGCTTTGCTGATCCGCGTGTCTGGCCTTTGGACACTGCCTTCGTCACTGAAGCTTTAAACCACAATGTCGAGTTTGACAGGCTGATTACGCCAACTCTACTTATAAAACTGGCCTCAGCTACTTTAGCTTCTTCTCCTTTTCATACGACTTTTAGAATTATGTCACCTTTTCCTTTACATCTACAAAAATTTTGCTATGATTTGGTTAGAAATAGCATTGGATTTGAATGCCAATTCTGGGAGACTTGTCTGTGTTCATTATGACCAAGTTGATGAGTTACTCTGTTGTCTTTTAATCTAAGAACATATCATGTCTCTCCTTTTAATTAGACTATGATTTCATTCATCAGCATTTTGTGGTTTTCAGCATAACATTCTCTACATAATTTGTTAGATTTATACCCAAGTATTGTGTCGTTTATGAGTGACTGTAAATGTTATTGCATTTTTAATCTCAGTGCCCATTACTAGTATATAGACAAACAATGGAATTTTTATGTTCATCTTGTATGTTTTGACTCTGCGATACTCACTTATTACTTCTGTGGTTTTTATTTTTTTTTTTAATCTTGGTGGATTCCTTGGGATTTTGCACACTGAAATTTATGTCTTAAATAAACATAAATTTCTTATTTCTTCCTTTCCAATCTGTCCTCTTTTGATTTCCTTTCTTGCCTCATGACACTTTGCTAGAACATAGCAGACATCCTTGCCTTGTTTCCAATCTTGGGCTCAAACATTGTTTTCAACCATTAAAAACAAAGCCAGCGGTAGATCATCACAGATGCTCTTTATCAGGTGGAGCCTGTCCCTACCATTTCTATTTTTCTTAGAGTTTTCCTCATGAATGGATATTGAATTTTATCAAAACTTTTTTTTTTATTCCTTGATATGATGCTGTGATGATTTTCTCCTTCAGCTTGTTAATGTGATGGATTACCTCAATTGATTTCTAAACATCAGATTGGCTTTGCACTCCTGGGTAAAAATGCCCATTGGCCACGGTGGACAGTTCTTTTCATATATCCCTGAATTGTATTTGCTGATATTTTAGCAGTGTTTTGCATTTATATTCATGAGTGATATTTATCTTTAGTTTTCTTGTGTGTACGCGTGTGCCTGTAAAAGCCTTTGCCTGGTTTGGGTACCAGGATAATACCAGCTTGATAAAACAAACTGGGAAGTGTTCTCTCTCTTATTTTCTGGACAAGTTTGTACAAAGTTGGTGTTAATTTTCCTTCAAACATTTGGTAGAATTCTCCAGTGAAACCATCTGGAACAGGGAGATTTCTTTTTTTGGGAGATTTTAAATTACAGATTCATTTTCTTGATAGGCCTATTCAAATTATCTATTTTATATTGGGTGAACTGAGGTAGCGTCTGTTTTCGGAGGAACAGGTCCATTTCATGAAGTGGTCAAATTCACGATGGGGTTATCGGTTGGTTCCCTTTTGATCTTGGATGGATGCGAGGCACGTAGGTATGTTTCCTGTTGCATTCCTGGCTACCTGTGTTTTCTTTCTCTTTTTTCTTTGTCAGTCCTACTAGAGGTTTATCGTTTTTACTGGTGCTTCCAAAGGCCAGCTCTGTTGGGAAGATTCTCGCCCCTCCCCAGTTCTACTGGCTTCTGCTGTCACCACCTTCCGTGGCTTGCTTTGGTGGACTTTGTTCCCTAGTTCTTGGGACAGAAGCTACATGATGGATTTCAAACTTGCCCTATTTTCTAATATGTGGATTTAGGGCTATCAATTTCCCTTTCCATCTTGTTTTAACTCACAAATTTACTAGGTTGCGTTTTCATTTTCATTCCGTTGAACATACATTTTTAAAATTCTCTCGGCTCTCCTCTTTAATCCGTGGGTTATATAAAGGGTACTGCCCGTTTCCAAGCCTTTGTTGATTTTTAGTTTAGTCCCACTGTTTTGGTCAGCTTTTTCACTGCTGTGACTAATGGATCTGACCAGTACAGCTGTACAGGAGGAAGAGTTAATTTGAGGGATCACGGTTTCAGAGGTCTTAGTCCATAAAAGGCCGGCTCCATTCCTTGGGACTGAACATCATGGTGGGAGAGGGTGGCAAAGGAAAGCAGCTCGCATCATGGTGATCAAGAAGCAGAGAGACTCCATCTCCAGACACGAAATATACACCCCATAGCCATGCCCCCAATTAACCCCTTCCTCTAGCCACACCCACCTGCCTCTAGCCACCACTCAGTTAATCCCAGCAGGGACCAATACACTGATGGGGTTAAGACTCTTATACCCTGATCATTT